GTTCTTTGTTTTATTTATGTGACCAGTCCCGTTCAGTTTCTCATCAATGGTAGTCCATTTCTGATACCCTTCAGTAGCAGTTAAATAGTGACAGACAAGTTTTAATTCAGTCCTTATCCAGACATTCCTTCAGGTTTCTTTTAAAGAGGAGTTAACTGACACTGTCCATTTTTCAAGGAAGCTTTTGCAGACGTGTGTTGTTCTTTGAATGTCCACTGAGGCTTTTAACTTCATTGAAATAAGTGAAGTACCATACTTGTAAAAATGTTGAATGCACGTCTTTAGGCAAAACATCGGGTTGATTTATACATGAGTAATATTTGAGGGGTTGAAATCCATGCACGTTCTTGGGTACAGTGATGCACTTCAGGGATTTTCAAAATTCTGAATTTGTGTCCGCTTGTCCCACATTCCTATAACTTATTTCAACAAATTCATCAAATTTCACTTTATCCAGTTCCTTATTGTTTGGATTTTACTGAAAAGAGAGACAGGTTGCTAAAGCTTTTCATCTCATACTCATCTTGACCACACAGTCCTTATGAAGAAAACATTCCGTCTTCACATTGAGAATACCCTCTTTCATGTTATGTGGTAATACCATTGTGATAAATGGGATAGATTTAGAATAGATCTAGCAACTGAAGACTGGGCATCCATGAGGCATTGTGGAGCAGCAGCAGAATTGTACTGCAAGACAATCTGCAAACTCGTGGCCCACCATGATCCCCCACTGTACCATGACCATCAAGCCAGGGCATCAACTCTGATTCAATGGAGCAGGAGAATGGCACCAAGTATACCTAAAAAAAAAAAAAAAAAACTACTTGTTTGCCGAACGGTATAAGCAGCATTTGATCAAGTTAAGCAATTCAACAACCAATGGTTCAGATCTAAGCTCTGTAGTCCTGCCACATCCAGTTGTGAATGGTGGTGGACAATTAAACATTTCACTGGAGGAGGAAGGTCCCCAAATCTCCCCATCCTAAATGATGAGGGAGCCCAGCACTTCAGTGCAAAAGATAAGGCTGAAGCATTTGCAGCAATTTTCAGCCAGAAATGCCAAGTGGATAATCAGTCTCATCCTCCTGCAGAGATCCCCAGCATAACAGATGGCAGTCTTTAGCCAAATCAATTGACTCCACATGATATCAATAAATAGTTGGAGGCAATAGATAAGGCTCTGGGCCCTGACACTGAAGACATGTGCTCCAGAGTTTACCAGGTCCTTAGCTGTTTCAATACATCTACAGCATTGGCATCTACCTAGCAATATGGAAAATTGCCCAAAAGTAGGAAAGGATCCAACCCAGCCAATTACCGACCCATTATTATACTCTCGATCATCATTAAAGTGGATGGAAAGGGTCATCCCCAATGCTATCAAGCAGCACTTGCTTAGCAATAGTCTGCTCACTAATACTCAGTTTGGGTTCTGCGAGGACCACATCGCTCATGACTTCATTACAGCCTTGGTTCAAACATGGACAGAAAAGCTGAATTCCAGAGGTGAGGTGAGAGTAACTGCAATCGATATCAAGACCAAGTGTGGTGTCAAGAAGCCGGAGCAAAACTATGGAGTAAATGGGTATTAGGAGGTAAATATCTTCGCTGGTTGGAGACATATCTGCCACAAAGGAAGATGTTTGTGGTTGTTGGAGTCAGTCATCTCCGCTCCAGGACTTCTCTTCATGAGTTCCTCAGGGTAGTTATTTTCTAATCAACCTTTTCAAAGATGTTATTGCACACCTCTGAAGCAGGTGGGACTTGAACCTGGGCCTCTTGGCCCAGCGATAGGGACACTACCACTACCACTACCACCACACCACAAGAGCCCTTGGAGATCCTCAAATTTTTGACCCTTAGAATTCCATGGATTCTAAAATGGCCTGTTTTAAGATATTTTCTAATCGACCTGTTCAAAGATGTTGTTACACACTTTTGGACCTGGTGAGACTGGAACCTGGGGCTCCTAGTTCAGAGGTAGGGACACTACTACTGCACCACAAGAGCCCTTACGTTCCTCAGGGTAAGTCCTCAGCCCAACCATCTCTAGCTGCTTCATCAATGACCTTCCCTCCATCATAAGGTCAGACGTTGGGATGTTCGCTGATTGATTGCACAATGTTCGGCATTATTCGTGACTCCTCACATACTGAAGTAGTCTGTATCCAATATCCACGTTTGGGCTGATAAGTGATAAGCAACATTCACACCACACAAGTGCCAAGCAATGACCATCTTCAATAAGAGAAAATTTACTCCTGTCCTTTGACATTCAATTTCGTTACTATCACGGAATCCCCCACTATCAATATCCTGGCTGTGACCATCAACCAAAGGCTAGAACTCCTGCAGCAAGTAACTCACCTTTTATCTCCCAGTCCCTGTTCACCATCTACAAGGCACAAGTCAGGAGCATGATGGAATACTCCCCACTTGCTGGATGAGTGCAGCTCCAATAACACTCAAGAAGCTTGACACCATCCCGGATCGAGCAGCCCCTGCTTGATTGGCACCATATCCACAAACATTTGCCCCTTCCACCACTGATGCTGAGTAACAACAGTGTGTGCCATCTACAAGATGCACAGTCATTCACTAACCTGACTTGGAAATATATCTTTGTTCCTTCGGTGTAACTGCATCAAAATCTTGGAACTCACTCCTCACAGCACTGCGGATGTACCTGCATCACAGGGACTTCAACAGTTCAAGAAGGTTGCTCACCAACACCCTCTCGAAGTCAATTATAGGAATAGACAATAAATGCTGGCCCAGCCAGCAAAGCCAAATCCCCCGAATGAATAAAAAAGTGTAAACCTCATGAAAGTATGCAGTTGTTTTATTGGTTTTTGTTTAGGACATCCAAGAAGACCTTGAAGCCAAGTACATGGATGCAGTTCAGTCGATTGATCTTTTGGAAACTGAGAAGACTTTACTGGTGTATGAGGTGGAGCGCTTGAGGGACATTCTAGAGAGCACAGAGGAGGAGCTGGCAGAGCTCCAGAGGAAACACCTACAAATACGCACGGTAATATAAATTGTATCCTAATTTTCAATTTTACTTGCAATTTAAAGGAGTTTTAAAGAATCAACTTATCTTCAAGGCAATAATCCTAATTAAAATGCTGTTGATTATGAAAAGCCAGGAATCCTGTCCTGTTTTTTCTTGACAAGGATCAACAGGGTAGATGCAGGAAGGATGTTTACCCTGGCATTGTTACTAAGGGGAGTCCAAACCCAGGGGTCACAGTCTAAGGATACAGGGTAAACCATTTACGACTGAGATGAAAAAGATTCTTCACCCAGAGAGTGGCGAGCCTGTGGAATTCACTACCGTAGAAAGCACTCGAGGCTGAAACATTGTATGATTTCCAGAAGGAGTTGGATATAGCACTTGGGGCTAGAGGGATCAAAGGATATGGAGGAAAAGCAGAAACAGACTATTGAGTTGAGCAATTGCTATAATGAATGGCAGAGCAGGCTCGAAGGGCAGAATGGCTCTTACTTACTATGTTCCTATGTTGGGCTTGGGATGGGGTTCTAGATCCAAAGGACTCAGCTTCTCAGAATAAGGGAGAGACTGTGGTGAATCAGTCATTAAATATGTTCCAGACTGAGATTGATAGATTTCTACATATTAACAACATCAAGGGATAGAAGGATAGTCCAGGAAAATGATATTGAAGTAGAAAATCAGTCATGGTCTCAATGAGTGGCAGAGCAGGCTTGAAGAGTTGAATGGCCTACTTTTGCTCCTGTGCCTTATGTGTATTAATCATGGGTGATATTTTAATCATCTATATTGGGATAGTCAGAATCCTTAGATTCTGGAGAAGTGCTGGAGGATTAGAATACTGCCGATGTACACCTTTATTTGAAAAGGGAAGGAGACACAAGAAATAGGTAACTGTAGGCCACTTAGCTTAACATCTGTTATTGGGAAAATATTAGGGTTTATTATAAAGGATGTAATAATAGAGCATTTAGAAAAACATGGAGATTAAGCAGGGTTAGCTTAGCTTCATGAAGGGGAAGCCATGCCTGACAAATTTATTAGAATTCTTTTGAAGAGGTAACAAGCAGAATAAATAGAGGTGAAACAATGGATGTGATTAGGATTTTCAGAAGGCTTTTGATAAGGTACCACATATTTGGCTACTTTATAAGATAAGAGCCCATGGTGTTGGAGGTAGTATATTACCATGGATTGAGGATTGGCTAACTAATTAAAGAGAGAGTTCGGACAAGGGTGGGGAAGGGATGCATTTTCAGCTTGGCAACCTGTAACTAATGGTGTACCATAGAGATTTGTGTTGGAGCCACAATTATTTACAGTATAAATGACTTAGATGAGGAAAGTGAATGTATAATAGCCAAGATTGCGGATGACACAAAAATAGGTGGGAAGGCAATTGGTGAGGCTGACATAAAGACTCTGCAGAGAGATATAGACAGATTAATTGAGTGGGCAAAAATTTGACAGATGAAAAAGATGTGGGAAAATGTGAGGTTATGCACTTTGACAGGAATAATAGAGGAGCTGAATGTTATTCAAATGAAGAAAATCTGCAGAAAGCTACAGAACACAAGGATTTGGGGGTCCTCATCCATGAATCATAAAAAGCTAGCTTCCAAGTTCAGTGGGTAACAGGGAAGGCAAATGGAATGAATGGAAAATAAAAGTAGGGAGGTTTTGCTAAAACTATACAAGGCACTAGTCAGTCTACAGCTGGAATACTGTCAACAGTTTTGCGTCCCTTATCTAAGAAAACATATACTGACTTTGGAGGCAGTCCAGGGAAGGTTCACTCAGTTGATACCAGGTACCAGGTATGGTGGGACTGTCTTATGAGGAGCGGTTGAGTAGATTGGGCCTCTACTCACTGGAATTTAGAAAAATGAGAGGCAACCTGCAGAAAGATTGTTACTCCTTGTGGGAGAGTCTAGGACCAGAGGGCATAATCTCAGAACAAGGAGTTGTGCATTTAAGACCGAGATAAGTAGCAATTTCTTCTCTCAGGGTAGTGAATCTGTGGAATTCTTTACTGCAGAGGGATGTTGAAACTGGGTCATTAAGTATATTCAAGGCTGAGATAGACAGATTTTTAATCAATAAGAGAATCAAGGGTCATGAGGAAAAGACAGGAAAGTGGAGTTGTGGATTATCAGATCAGCCATGAGCTCAGTGAATGGCAGAGCAGACTCGTTGGCCGAATGGCCTGCTGCTCCTACATATGGTCCTAAGTTCTTTAGTAGCAGTTTAATAGCCTTACCAGATGTTTCATGTCATTATATCACACCTCAAAACTGTCTCCAATTAAGCACTGATATCAGACACAAGACAAATTAAAATAGGAGATGTCACTAGAAGAGTAATGATATACTGTAGAAGGTCGATGTTAATGCCCATCATTGGCACAGTATAGAATTAACTTTACCCCTATGTGTCACCTGGAAGAGTTAGATACAAAAAGAAACAATTCCTTTCCAAGCAGTGTCGTCCCTCCATTTCTGTGTACAAAGGAGCAGTAAATAAAAAATGAAAATGGTTTGACATGAAAGTTATTGAGTAATTGTTTTCTCAATTCCATCAACAGGAACTGGAGACAGAGAAAGTTGCCAAGCAGTTATTGCAACAAAAGATTAGTTGCATGCAGGAGCAGCTGGAGGAGAGACTGGAGAGCCAGGTAAGAGTGATTAAAGCAACATTCTGATTTACACTGTGGCTGGGATCTAAGGGAAATTGCATTTGATAATGGAATCATCTTTCTTGGAACTTTTGGATCCAAGCACAATGTCTTTTCCTTTTTCTTCCCCTACTCCTCACCCAATTTTTCCTTTGGGTACACAACACCATTCAGGTACGCTTAGTACGAAGGTAGGATTTCACCTTCATACAGAATGAACTGGTCACTCCTGCCTATAGTGTCATGGAAAGATGCATCTATGACAGGTGATTGATGAGGACAAGGTCTAATAGGTTTTTCTCTTTTTATTGGTTCCCTCGCTACTTCCCATATGTCCAGTTGTGCAGCTATGTCTCCACGGCAGGTTTCTTGTATTGCAATGGCCTAAACTGCAGAGGGAAAATGGCAGATGTCCAATGACATGTCCTCGGTTCATTGTCTTGTGATGCCTCATCCTGACATGTTTCCTTTTGGATTTTTTTTCTTGTTGGTTTGCCATTGCTTTTTAGTCTCGGGGCAGTGAGGCAGGCTCCAAGTCTATCTCGGCCAGAACAACTGAGCCTGTGTTGTTGCCATTATTCTGAACCATGTGCTTGCAATCTAGCCAACTAAACTAACTAGCCTCTTATTATGAGAATAGTGCCTTCAGTATTGCTCTGTCTGTGGGACAACTCGTAATCAGGCTTGACCCTTCTCATCATTCACCTACTTCTCCAAATAGGGACAGGTAACTGAACAGGACAGTAGGTGATTGCTTGTACAGTCAGAAACAAATGTTAGTTACGTGCAATTGGCCATCAATATTGTGACGATGCTGTGGCTTTAAGAGGTTATTTTGTCCAGGTTTCTTTTTGAAGAAAGGTTTTAAGGGAAAGGCGGAGAGCAGTCTACCAAAAACACTAGAGTAAATAGCTTGTGAGGCCTTGGATTTTTTTAAAAAGTTGGAACAATAGAAGCAGCCTAAATAGGTGGGGTCGAGCTCTCACAGTACCAGGATTTTTAGTTTTTGTAGCAGCAGTTGTTGCTGGGTTCTCAGGAGTGTTGGAAGGCAGTGAATCTCTCCCAGCCGCTACACTCTCTCTCTAAGTTTTCTCTGGATGCTTTTCCTCCAGGGCTGCTGGAGTTGCATGTGAGACAGTTCTGTTTTCTGAATTTGTCTTTTGCCAAGGGTGTGTTTATGGGATAACACAGTGTGGAGCTAGAG